GACGATCAAGTGTACTTCCAGCAGTTGGAGGAAGCGGGGGTGGAAGTAGACAAGACGTTTGCGGCGCTGCCGTTGCCGTGGAAGATCTTTTGGGGCTTGGTGTACTTTTGCCTGGCGCTGGCGTCGCTGTACCTGTTCATGGTGGCCGTCAAGGTGATCGGCGAGTCGTTTTCGCTGCTGCTTGGGTGCGAAGCCAAGTCGGCGTTCGAGTTTTCCAACAACCCGATTGCGGGTCTCATGGTGGGCGTGGTGGCGACGGCGCTGCTGCACTCGTCCAGCACGGTCACGTCCGTGACGGTGGCGCTGGTGGGTGCCAAGGGACTGACGGTTCGCCAGGGGGTGCCCATCGTGATGGGGGCCAACGTCGGCACGTGCATCACGTGCATCATGGTGGCGTTTGCACAGGTGGGAAAGCGCGAACAGTTCGAGCGAGCCATGGCAGCGGCCACCGTGCACGACATGTACAATATCTGGTCGGTCATCGTGTTGTTCCCGATCGAGTTGCTCTTCCACCCGCTCGAGCTGCTGTCCGTCGCGATGGCGGGCGGCAAGTCCAGCTTCGACTTCAAGTCGCCGACCGACGCCGTCGTGAACCCGCTCGCCGACCTGATCGTCAAGTCGGACCGGTCCATGATCGAGAAGGTGTCGACGGGCAAAGTCACATGCGAGAAAGCCGTGTTCCTGCGGTCCGGCATGTTTTTCGACAGCGTGGTCAAGAACAAGACCATGTCGAACGCGACGGCGGGCGGCATCTGCGCAGCGATCGGGTTCGTCATGCTCGTCCTGGCATTGGTGGCGCTCGTGCACATGTTGTCCAAGCTGTTCCGCGGCCCGACCCAGCACATCGTGCGCAAGATGCTCAACTACAACGGGTACCTGAACATCCTGATCGGGACCGCCATCACGTTCAGCGTGCACTCGTCGACGGTCGTCACGTCCATGTTGACGCCGATGGCGGGCCTGGACTTGGTCTCGTTGGAGCAGGTGTACCCGATCGTGATCGGCGCCAACTTGGGGACGACCGCGACGGCGTTGCTGGCGTCGTGGGTGTCGGGCAAGTCGGACGCGGTGGCGATTGCTCTCGTGCACTTTTGGTTCAATGTGTGGGGGATCTTCCTCTTCTACCCCATCCCGATCACGCGGTACCCGATCCTGCAGTGGGCGCGTCGGTTTGCGTTCTACAGCGCGCGTTGGCCTCCCGTCGCGGTCTGGTTTCTCGTGCTGCTCTTCGTCGTCGTGCCTGGCACCTTCTTGGGACTGACGTTCTTGTTTCAAGGCGAGTCGGTCGCGATCGTGTTTGGCGTCGTCACGGCCGTCGTCCTCGTCGCGGCCGTCCTCGGGTTTTACTGGTGGTACTTCAAGAAGGGCGGTCGTGCCAAGTGGCATGCCTTCTTGGAGGCCAAGGGGGACGCGTATCACGCCAGGGAGGCCGCCAAGAACGGCGCCGCCAACGACCACGTGTAGTGTCCAGCGATGTGTATACAAGACGAGTTGTGCTGCATCGCGCTTGTTCGTGGACCAGTGGCAACTTGCTGCTGCGACGTTGGCAATTGTAGCGATACATAGATGTAGCAGGATATCGTGGACGGAGCGTGTCCTCAAGGCGTGTTCGGGGGGTCTTTGGGGTTGAAATACTTTGCTCTCTCCTGTTTGCGTACGCAGGGGCCAGCGACGAAGAAGAGGACGACGGAGACGATGAGGCGGATGGGAACGGGATGGAAGGGTGGACAGCAGTCGCGTCTATCGTCAAATCTGTTCTGAGGTACCGCTGGCGGTTGCTTGGAGGTGTTTGGTGGCAGTCGTTTGTGATCTGCCTTGGGTGCTCTGGCCATCGTACGACTCCACGGCTGGTGCCTGTGTGATGTTTTGCCAGACCGCAACGACACACGACTGCAGCACCTACAACTGCTCTCTTTCGTTCCCGAGATGCGGCGTGCTTTCGCCCTGTATGAACGCAGTTCAGACGAAGAATGGCGGAGTCGTGATCGCAACGATGATGCGAGTCCTGGTGGAGCGCTGCTGCAACCAGTTCCAGGGAATCAATTACGCCGGCAAGTGTATCCTTGTCATGTGCAGCTTACTACTCTCGTCGCGAACTCAAGCATGTCGAAGTCAAACGGTTGTCGGCAATATGCGGCGGTTCATTCCGCTTGCTCTTGTTGTCTTTAACTAATCGTCGGACCAGCCGCCGCATCGACCGAGCAGAAAGACATTAGAAACACGAGCAATACCGATTTCGTTCGCCCCTTCAGTGCTCTCTCGTATCCGCAGGCGGCCTTCTATTCCTTGCTCCATCCGTCCACATAGTGCGTGTCACCACTCCTTGCTTTTGGTATTGCCAGACCATGCTAAAGAGGTGATTGGCGAGACTGTCACCTCGGCTAGGTCGCGCTTGCTGGCCATGGCGTCGCAGAGGAACTGCGCACACGCCTGGGGCCACCTACCGTCCGTTCAATTGTACAACTTCAACCTGGTAACCAAGAAAATTAGATTCCGTTCAAGATTCAGCAGTATTGTTTAAACTAGGACGTCGAATCTATCGC